AATCATGTAACTATGGTTTTCTAGCCCGTACATCTTAACTAAAGCCTGAACCAATGTTTAATCCTTTATATTCTTTTCCCAATGAAAAGCAACTATCAATACGTAATATTCAATAGTGCTCTCAAGCAATGTATACAAAATGCATACTATTCCATATACAAGAGCTACTTCTCCAGTGAATTATTTTTACTGACAAACTGCCCTTACTGTTTAGTTAAGTTTTCCTGAACATTCATCCAGTACCTACTTTCTATAACTTAAGTCGATTATTCTGTGTCCTGCCCTTTTGGATTATACAGAATAGGATATGGCCTTTCTCTGTGTAACACCCTATAGATATTTGAATAGAACTATTATATTTGTCTTCAGTTCTTTCTTTCAAGGCTGAACATATCTAGTTATGTCAATCTCTATCCTTGGTCTCTGTTCTGTTATGAAATCTTTTAAAGAAACATATACAAATCAGTGATCAATTTTTCTCCACTCTGCACATACATTCACATAGGAAGCAAAGACCTATGTGGATGTCTTCTGCAGTATTTGTACTTTAAACCCAAATGTTTATGTTGCTTGAAGTGTATTAATTAATATAATATTGAATAATTTCAATTGTTGCATATCGAAATAATGAATTTTGAACTGTATTAAATTTAGGATTAACCACCACATACAAGGCTGGTGATATATATAGTGGCAAATTCAGCTCACTGGAGAATCATTGCCAACATTTTAAAGCAAGCAGAGATAAATAATAATCATTCATTCTAATATATTCAGCATAATATGTTATCTTTCTTTATAATAATGGCAATAACAATTGCATTTATTTTTAAAAAAATTAAAAATCGGTGACATTTCAGCATTAACCTAGAAACCAGATGCCAATTTTAAAATGAGAAGAAGACTGTGAATTCTAGTCCTCTTTAGGCATAAGTCTTCTAGGTGACTTTGGGCCAATCACTCTCTCTGAGTCCAACCCTCTTCTCTATTGTTGTGGGATTAATAGAAGATAGAAGCATTGCATATATAACCTTGAATTGGTCAAAATGAAGGTGAAAAGTATTTGGGAAGAACTCAAAAGATAAATAACAATCCAAAATGCATAGCAATATCTACCTGATGGTACAACCAGGGCTTTTTTTCTCATAGAACGCCCAGAACGGAGTTCTGGCACCTTTTTGGGATGGAACCTTGTAGGGTAGGCAAGGTGGGTTGTATGACGTGTGTGAGTTCTGGCACTTTTTTTTTTTTTTTTTTTTTACAAAAAAAGCACTGGGTACAACTAACCATAGAAATACAGTAATGGCTATTCACTATACATTATATCCTTGCATGATATTGATAGATTATATCAGTCCCACAAAAATGGAGGCAGAGATTTACTTCAAGTCAAAAAAACTGTTGAAGAAGAAAAGCGTGCATTTACTGATTATGTAAAAGATAACCAATTTCTAAATTAAAAATTGGAACTTACTGAATGTATGGAAATGAAGCACGAATATTGAAAATAATATAATAAAAACACAAACAGAATGCTGGCAAAGAAAAGGGGAATCATACCATTCTGTTTCACTTGTTTGCCACTCTGGAGCCAGTTTGTTCCACCTGTTTTGCACAGGCTTCCTGACCTATGTATAGGTTTTGCATAAGGACAATGAAATGTTCTAGGATTCCATTTTCCTAAGCACATTCTGCAGTTTACATTATTGATACAATTTAAGGCTTTTCCATAGTCAATGAAGGACATACTTTTGGTATTGTTTGGCTTTCACAATTACCTTGTATACATTAGATTTTTTATGCAAATTTATGCAGGAATATAGCTTTACAGAGTGACAAGGATCTATGTTTGTCTTAGTAAGCATTAGCCAATAGAGTGATGTACCCACAAAAAAACCAAATGTAACTCTAGGCTGCATAGTGTCAAAATCAAAAGACGTTATTCTTCTTCATTATGCATTGGTAAAACTAGGGCTTTTTTTCTCATAGAACGCCCAGAACAGAGTTCCACCACCTTTTTTGGATGGAACCTTGTAGAGTAGGCAAGGCAGGTTGTACGATGTGTGTGAGTTCCGGCACTTTTTTTTTTTTTTTTTTAGAAAAAAAGCACTGGGTAAAACCATATCTAAAATACTTAATATGGTTGTGGGCACTGCATTTTTGAAAAATAATTTATAAATTTGAATATATACACATAAAAGCAACCAAGCTGATAAGGGCCATCAAAGGAAAAACTTGCAAGGGAAGTTTGGAAATGTTGGGTATATTTAGGCTAAAGAAGACTGCAAGAAAATATAATGGCTGTCTTCTGACTGTCATGCAGAAGATGGTACAGAATTGTTCAGTGTTGTTTCAGAAGACAGGATACAAATCAATGACTTTATATTATAAGAAAGTAGGTTTCATTTGGACATCGGGAAAAATGATTAAGAGTACACAGAAAATATAACAGACTGCCTTGGGAGTCTTTTGATTCTTTTCTGGAGGTTTTTAAAAGTTAGATGGTAAACTCCTTTTTAATTTTTTTTATTAAATAAGTTTTTTTACAAAGTTAAAAGATAAACATGAAAAAGTATAGAAAAAAGAAAGATAAGAAACTATTAAAAACAATAAAAAGAAAAGAAAAAGAAAAAATAATACTTGAAGAAGCGACTTTCAAACTTCTTTACAGCAGTGATAAGAAACTTTCCTCCCTTCTAAATGACATAATATGGTTCCCTTCTCCCCATATTCAAGCCCCATTAATCTGTAAATCATGAATTCATTTTTATTCATTTTCAGCAAAAAGTCCATAAAGGGTTTCCAATCTTTATAAAAGTAGTTATTCCCTCCCTAATCACACACACCAATTCAGTCATTTCTGCAATTTCTGCCATTCATTCTGGAAATCCATTCCTTCATTGTGGATATTTCAGTACTCTTCACAATCTCAACATAGTCAACATATGAAAAATCAGTGCTTTTTTTTGTCACAGAATGCCCGGACCGGTGTTCTGGCACCTTTTTTTGAAGGGAAGAACCAGCTCCTTCTAAGCTGCCAGTGTGAGTAAAGCTCTGGCTCGGTGAAAGGAAACTGCCTGGGGAAATCGGGGGCATGGAAAGTCAACCAGAAAACACTTCCACGGCCCTGAAAGCAGATCCTCTTCTCTGCCTTGATTCATGGGGCTCCCTCCGCCACCTGTCCTCACCCCCATGTTGGCCACCAGGGACCAGGACTGACTCCTGGAGCAAATCTCTTTGAGGGACCACGTGTGGTCCCAAAGCAGCAGCACCGTTGCCACCTTGGTCACTCTGGCTCCGGAGGGAGCCTCTGTGTCATCAGAGGCGGAGCAGGACGAGGTGGCAGAAGACATCCCGGCTCTGAACAAGCACCCTCTCAAAAGCCGCAGCAATGGCATCTGTCAGCTGATGCTGCTCACGTGATCTGCACCTCGGAAGCTCCCTAAAGCGGTTTCTTCTCCCCCCCCACTCTGTAAAGGGGGGAGCCGGAGCTGGAGCCAGAGATGTGTGTGAGTTCCGGCACCTTTTTTTTTTTTTTTTTTACAAAAAAAGCACTGTGTAAAGCCAACTCACCTTGAGGATGGATGGGAAATTCTTCTTTTCACCTCTATGTCCAATGTTTCCCCTTAGTATGTAAAGAGACATACAGTTTTAAACCATATATTTGATTACAAATAATACTCATATTTTCCTATTTAGGCCAGGACTAGTCTAATATTAAGGCATTCACACATATTGTACTTGCTGAGTCGCAAAGCACAGTGGTAAAAGTAGGGTTTCACTGGAGCGTTAGTCCCACAGAAGCTGATCTATTGTTCTTGCTGCCATACTGTTGTCAGTGCCGAAGTATTCATTTGTCTGTCCTGTCAGCTTTGCCACAGAGTTGCCCTGTGGTAAGATGGGCAACCAATAAATTTAATAAATAATTAAAAAATAAAAAATGAAGAATGAAAAGACGGACACCAGCTTGGTCTTCACCTAAGACAATAGAAAGTCTTTTGTAGGCTATGAAGAAACGATCTTTACTAATCCTGCCTGGAAATAAAATATCATTGAAGTCAGTGGGCTGTTCTATCTCTTTTTTTCTGTATTTTTATATAGTCAGGAAAAGGTGGTATGTAAGATAATAAGAAGTTATGTCAAAGGGACTACATGACATTAAATATATTTTATAAAGCTCAAGCCTCAAATTAAATCCCCCCTATCAACTCATTGATATATATTTCTAGAAAAGTAGGCAATGGCTATTTTTGCCCTATTCATTCTTACCAATTAAACTCTGAAAACATACATTGAATTGAGGTACAAAGAATTTTTCTTGTTACAACCATGAAACCAAATACAGAGTATATTTTGTATACAAAATAGAATAGGAAAAAGCTGTGAAAGACCAGCAAGCAAAAGTGGCAGTAGTGAGTTTCTTTGAAATTACCATTTGCTGGCAATTACAAAAAAATAAAAATTATACTCCCCAATACAAAAATACAATTTAAAATTTTGCCTCATGTTTCAAAAATACTTAATTGTCCTCTACAATTGGTACTTTAGAAACCTTTTGAATAAACTATTAGAATAGTCAACATATTCATTGTCACTGTACACCGAGTCATTTTACATAGCACACAGTACACCTAAGTCCCATGTTGTTGTTTTTTAAAAGATAAAATTGGATTAGACATGAAAAAGTCTTTAGTGCATCATAAAGTGCTCCCAGTATTGGCTTAAAGCTTTGCTGCAGGAAATTAATATATGCAGAGCAATTTTTTTTAAAGCATGACACAATTGTTTTGATCTGGAGATTTGGTGTCAAATGTTGCATGTGGCTTCCGAACGTATATAGAGCCCTAATGTGTTAAAATCTGCACAACTTTTATTTTTCTTCAGCCTCTTTACCAGATGTGTCACCATGGGGCTTTGGGGGGAAAAAAAAAAGACTGGGAAGGCATCACCGCTGATCTAGAAAGGAACAGTGCTGGATTTATCAACGTCTTTCTTTGAGACAGTTAACTCAGTGGCTGCTGTGGAAAGAGCAACTGAGGGTTGTCGCTTGCCTTTCCTTCCTGAACTGCCTGCCAAGCCCTGGCCAAAAGCCTCCATGCCAGAAGATGCACAGACCTGGATGAAGAATGACACCCAAGGGCATTGGCTCCAGCCTTGTTTTACCATCCACAGCCGCTGCTCTCGCTTCTCCATTGAGCACCTAGGCAAGCTGGATGCGCGCCTTCCGGAACCTGCGCCGCCGACCTTCGAAAAGACCGTTAACTTCGTTGGCGTCCGTTCTTCCTTTGCTTTAGCGGCCAGAGGGATACGCTACTTTTTTGGGGAATGGCAAGTTTTGGACTTTCCTTGCTTAGGAAGCCTTGGGCGAATTTCTACAGGATGGGGGTGATGTTGCATGCCTAGCCACGAGAGGGATTTGCTCATTGGTTTCCTTTTGTTTACGATGGAATTCAGAAACGTCTCCCACGACTGAATTTCGACTGAATTAGGAAAATCAAAGAAGAAGAAGAAACCTCCGGTTCAACTGAAAAGGGCGCCCGCCGGATATTCTATATAGCTTAGGACTTGCTGTGCCGTTCTTTCTCACCCCTTTTTTTACTCGGCGCTCGAGCGGATTGGAACGCTTTTGGCGCCAGCGCCGCCGCCGCCGCCTCCTCGCCCATCGCAGGTGGCGGCGGCGCTTCGCTGAGGGAAAAAGAAGACAGCGCAGCCGCCTTGCTTGCTTTCCCGCCTGCCCGCCCCAGCCGGCCTCGGGAGCAGCAGCAGTAGGCGCGCGCGCTCCTGCCGGCGAAGGGAGGAGAGGCGAGGAAAGCGAAGGGAGCGCGGCGGCGGCGGCGGCGGCGGCGGCGCCGGCTGTCACAGTAGCATCTCGAGCGGGGCAAGGCTGCCGAGCTGAGGTGGCACTAGAGAGCGCCGCTGCCGACCCTGCCGTGAGACTAAGGCAGTGGGGAGAGCGATTCAGCCAGACGTCAGCCTCGGCTAGAGAAAGCGCCGGCCTCTCGGAGCACGCCAGCGTGTGAAAGAGCTTGCCTCGCTCGGAGCGTTTGCCGAAGCACGCGAGTTTCGCAGTCAAAGAGGGAGGCGGCGGCGAAAAGGACGCGGCGGCGGTGGCGGCGGCGGCAGCAGCGGTGGCACGGCAAGATGCTGCAATTGGGCAAGGTCAGGACCTTGCATTGAAGCAGCCCGGGGGGCGCGCAGCCACCTCCTTCCAGCCCACCTTGAGGATTTGCCTTTTGTTGTTGGTATATGCTCGGGAAGCAGCAAGCAAGGGCGACGGCGTTGGGTGAGTCGTGCCATTGCCAGCAGCAGGAGCATCATGGATGGTGCCCAGGCTTTCTCCTTTTTTTTTTTTTTTCCTTGTGCAGAGGGATTGCCACTGGCAGCAGGAGGAGGAGGGGCCCGCATTGTAGAGGTCTTTCTCTCCCCCCCCCCCCTCTGCTTTCTCTCCTCCACTCCTCCCTTTCTTTTTAAAATCCTCTAGTTGGGTTTGGATGAAGTGCCCCGATTGTCTGGGATTATAAATACGTTGCGTTATATTTTGATTTCGGAGCTTCGTCGAAGAGCCGCACGAAAGCAGGCTAATTCTACTGCCTGTTTTCCCCATTTTTTCTCCCCACCCCGTTTCTTTATACTGTCCCTCCCTCGCTGCTTTTATGTAGGGCATCGGCGGCAACTCGGCTTTTCTATCACCTGGCAATAATATTCTCCCTAGAGCTGTGAAATCGTAAATACGTACCAGGGGAAAAGCGAAGAGGCGAGCAACGGAGGCGGGTGGGAAGTAGACCTTATTTAGTCCCCGACTGCTGTTGAAGCATGGCATTCGCATCTTGTAATATTTCATGTACATGGAACCAACTAGAAATACTTAGGCATACATGTATGTGTGGGGCTTCGTCTGCATTGGAAACGGGAAAGGAACCACCCTCCCATCTAGCCCGTCTGGATTTGAAGGGATTTAAACAGTGCCATTTCAGAGGAATCGTATCCGACTTTTCGGGCGTTGTGCTTATCACAAATGGAACGGAGGCGGTCCTGGTTTTGCATCAGTGCCTGTGAAAGGGTTGCCGTGATATTTGGCTGATTTATAATTAATGGCTGAAAGAAAAGACGCCTCTCATTCGATCCATTTCCTCCCCCCCCTTCCTTTCCCCCTTTCTGGTGTGTAATGTGCTTGCATCGATTGCTTCTAACCTAGTCTCCACTGTGAGTCAAGTCGCTACTGAGGAGGTGCAGCAGACGAGACAGTAAATTGGTGATGCACATATTCAGCTTTTGCTGGAAATGTTGGAGAAATCTTTCCCAAAGGGATTATATTAGTAACTATGTAGAGATTTTTTTTTAAAAAAAATTATTTATTTATTTATTTATTTATTAAAATGCATACATCAACATGGAAGAGAAGGGGCATCTTATGCAGGGTACATTTTGAAGCACACTTTAAATGTAAAGACTAATTTTATTTAACTGAGAAATGTATGGCCAACCTTACCAACTCCTCCAGGAAACTTTGCAGTAGTTTACTATAGATAATTGGGAAAAGATTGATAAGCCAGTTATTACACCGTCAGCTATTAACTTTTATGAACTGCAAGGAAGTGCCTTTACAAGCACTTCTATGGAATTTCCCAATATACAGAAGAATATATTATTGTCCATCAGAAATAAAGGATTTTGGCATGAAAAGCAGACTTAAATCCTCATCCTATGCAATATTTTTAATTTAAATGAAGATCCACAGTCTAACTTTCTGTTGGCTGTATATAGGGATACAGTGATTGATTGGCTATCTGAAATACTTTAGATACTGTTTCTAAGAATGAATACATTTCAGATTTTTCAGAAAATAGCTTGGAATTTTCACCATGATTTTCACTCTTCTTGGTCCTTGGTGCTTGGATTACCTGGTGGCTATAGGAAGCACAGTTGAATTTCTCCAGTTCTCTACAAAAACATGAAAAATGTTTGTTGTTTTGTAATAAATTTTTGAAGCCTTTAGATGTGTTTCTTTAGAAAACTGGGACAACAGTTCCGCGTCCTACATTTAATTGAATTCACCCTTTTCACAATATGCAGTGAAAATGACTATAATCACATTCTTGATATCCATTTGTGTGGACCAGATTAATTACACAATAATTTGAGTTTGTTGTATTTGAGAAACAGTTTCCTATTCTATTACTATGTGACTGTTACAATATAGAAACATGAATTCCATCTTGAGCATGTCTTCCAGAGGTAGTGTTTTTGCAGACTGTTATATAAGAAAAGCTTTGTTGTTTTTTTAAAAAAGTAGACTGCTAAGCAATTGCTAGATATAATGCTGCTTAAAAGTATTGTACAGCTAATCACTAAAAATATAAACTAAATTGTAACCATTTATTATGTTGCATTTGTCATAGTAAATTATAAATATTACATTCTAAGGGAGTATTACTATTGTATCTGTATTGGGGTTCTTTTTTTAAAAAAAAAAAGTAACAAAATTATGTCAGTAAGGGGTTGAAAATATGTATCAAATATTCCTAAATGAATGGATGCTTGTTTTTATTCATAAGTTTGGCTTAGACTGCATATAGCTGCAGAGTATTATTTATACTCTATTATTTATAAATAGCAGCATAATTTTTATTTGAATAAATTGCTCTGAGTCACAGCAATTACTCTGATTTATACCAGTGGTATAAAAATAAGTTGTTTATGATTGAGTATAAATGAAATCTCTGACAGTATCAAGGAACATGAACCAGGTTAGTGTTAAATAGTTTAAAATGTAATCTTAATATAGATCTGATTCTGTTAATAATATGTTTTTGCCTATGGCATGATATTATAAAATATGTCTGTTTTATTATGGTTATTTTAGTATTTCATTTGTAGCAAGTTTACAAATATTTATTTAATATATGTATTTTAAATAACAATAACATTCAATATTCATGATTTAAAAAGAAATGGAAAACATATATAGTAACAGAAGCTTCTTTTGCTTCCTTTTAATCTTGAAATAAGTTATTAGAATTGAAATATTATCTTCAACTATATTGTTATAATGAATTCCAGAAAAATAAGGTAGGTGGAGGAAGAGCACTTTTCAGCAACATTTCTTCAGTGCCATTTATATAAAAGTTTTTAATGGGGTGGGAAGTAGCCATTCATATTCTGTTCCTGCATTGATGCAGTGGCCTGTTCCCTGTTTAATTGAGTCAGTGAGGATATATTGTGAGCACCAAAACGGGTTAGAAGAAGGCCCATTTAACACAATCCCAGAATATTAAATTGAGCCCCAATCAGGTCCTTTTTTGCATAGGTTTAAACTTAGCCCACCAGTCAGCTTTTCACAAAACATCAAAATCCAGTCGGTTGCCCTGTTTTGCTTGCATAGTTATTTGTGAAAAATAGCTGAAAGGGAAGTTGACAGTATAGAAATCCAGTCAGAATATGAGTATACATTTTTCTATGAATGGGGACTTAGGGTACTGCCAGTTTCTTTTTTCTTCCCATCCATCCTGTTTTCTTTTTCATATTGTCAACCCTTCAGGATAGACCAGATCAAGAAATGTATTCCAGAACTATAATTAATTGAGGTGGGCTGTAATAATCAAGTCCTATTGCACATCTCCTCCGCTTCCTCTTCTATCTCGGTTAATCATGGAGGAATCATCCAGAACCTCTTCTTCCATCCCAGAAGTCAAGGAATGTTTCTGTCTTCTTTGTTTACATAAGAGTTTCCTAGTATTTGCTTCAGGACCATCTCCCTGGCTGTCTACACATATCCACTGCTGCCTCCGTAGCCAGCGGGAGAGGGAGAATAGGTGGTCCTCAACTTGCAGCCACAACTGAGCTCAGAATTTCTGTTCTGTTAAGTGAGTTTTGCCCCATTTTATGACTTTTCTTGCTATAGCTGTTAAGTGAATCATTGCAGTTCTTAAGTTAGTAACATAGTTGTTAAGTAAATCTGGCTTCCCCATTGACTTTGCTTGTCAGGAGGTCACATAACCCCGAGACACTGCCACCATTATAAATCATGAGTCAGTTGCCAAGGGTCTGAATTTTGATCATATGACCATGAGGATGCTGCAATGGTCGTGAGTATGAAAAGTGGTCATAAGTCACTTTTTTGGTGCTGTTATAACTTTGAATGGTCACTAAATGAACTGTTGTAAACCGAGGACTACTGGTAGTAACATAGGAGTGGTTTTCTGACCCTGAGTACATGGGATCCTAGGCACTTGGAGAGAAAGCAAGTGGTGATTCTATATTTCTAAAATGGCACCTGTTGATCCAGTTAGTGCAATTGCAGCTGCTAGGACCACCCGTGAGGACATTTGCATGGATTAGAACTGATTAGGTTATGTATGTTGAGGACAGGGCTAGTTGGGCAATTGAGAATATATGACACAATTCATAGTGCAGACATAACTGACAATCATAGGTAATATGAAACTAAGTGATGGACAGTAAGCTGAACTTGAGTGGGTTTATTAATTCTTGCTTCAGTATGCAACATGAGACTAATTTGAACTAAGTCTTCATTTTAATTTTAATAAAAAAATATTTCTAAGAAGTATTCATAGCTTCAAGAATTTGAAGTTATCCTACAATCATTCTGACTGATTGTTACTAGTTCATTTTAGGATGTGAAGCTCATGATGGTTAGGTAAGAAGATACTTTGCTTTCTTCCAGTTGTGGAAAGGAGAAAGAAAATGTCTCAATAAGAAAAAAAAATCCACCATTCTCTCATATCAGATTTGGAGCAGTTGTTGGAACCAGTCCAGTTTGTTGTAAAACAAAACCAGACCATCTAGTTTGGAGATAACCTGACTGGCCTGTCAATTTTTTTTTCTTTTTGATGTGCTGAAATTCTGTTCATATAACTCCTTTTTAAACTTAATTTCTGAACTTGTGAGAACATTGTTTGATTTATACTGAACCAAGAAGATACAAGACTGCAGTGTTGTGTTATAGATTGTCATATCTGAAAAAACAAATGAAATAAGTAGAGCAGAGGTGAGAAATCATTTTGTGTCTACATATTGTACTTAAATACTTCTTAGGGGATTCAGGTTCATGGAGAGGGGAAGAAAGCGGGGAAGGGGTTGTAAAGAAGGAATTGTCATGTACAGGACACCCTGGAAAATGTTGTTGCCTTTTTTTTCTTATGTTGTTTTTGAAAAGATGTAGTAGTTTTGCTTTTGGCTTGGTTGTAGACGGGGTAAGACTGTTAAGAGTTTAGGTTATACTTTTGTGTTTCTGATCACACTGATAAGAAATTGTGGTATTGA